TCCGTGATCTGCTCAAGCTGTGTTTTGTCAAAGGATTGTAAGGCTCATCACACTGGCACTTAGGGGAATGTATCCAACCATTTTCACGGCCGGATCCATGTGCCCATTTTTTTTCCCTTTTATTCTCTTTTGGAATCTGACAACCTGGCCACGGGGCTGAGATGCCCTCATTGAGGGCACACTCACACTACCACTTCCAAGAATGTATACAACTGCAATCACAATTCACGACCAATGCTTTGTTTCCTTTTTTTTTTTTTAATTCTTTTATGAGGTTCACGGCCGCAACTTTTCTTATTCTTTTCGTTTTTTTTCCCTTCTTTCCGTGAGAGTACCAGAAAGAAAACGAAGTGGTACCCAGGCTCGGCAAAACTCGGAGCGCAGTGAAATTCAGGGTCGGCAAAAACAGGCTCGGAGGTACTGGTGGTTTAAATTACAAGCAAAACAAAAGAGATGGCAATAAAGAAGGCGGTGAAAAAAGAAGAAGAGAATTTGCAAAATACCCCCATAAGTTGAGATATATGCCAAAATGCCGTTGAAAGATGTGGGTAGAGCAGGATGCCCGTTTGCGCTGAAAGCTTTGTGTTATGCCACTGTCAAGCCGGTGGGCATATTTGCAATCTGGACATTGCCTTTTGGCCCTTGGCTTTTTGCAATAGGGACTTGGAAAAGTTGGCAAGTGCAGGGGCATTCTGCAAAGTTGTACGATGTCTGGTAGGGGTATATTGCAAAGATGGGGGGTACAACCTACACTAGAGGTATTACACAAAAGTTTTTTTTTTCAGTCAAGAGGGGCATTCCGCTCTACCTTAATGTTTAAGGGCATCTTGGCATATATCTCAACTTACGGGGGTATTTTGCAAATTATCCCCTAATACTGCCTTGATTGGCTTGTAAGTCTGAAGCAGCTTTGCTCCAGACATCATGACTAGGACATAACTCCCGGGCTGAGATCCCGTTTACATTTCCCACGCCCCCTGGAGCCAGGAGCCACTGGGTCTGATTTACACTTGTGCTCCTCCGTTTTCGATCACGTGTGGCCGTCCATGATATCCGTCAGTCATTGATCGTTTTGCGTATACTGCTAGTGTCAAATGTCTTCGTTTTCGTGGAGGCAGCTGCCCATAGGCCAGTAGATTTTTTTTTTATTCATTTGTTGGCCATTTAGTTGGCCACTTTGCATTGCGTGAAGCTTCAATACTATGTTTTTTTTTAAGGGGGGGGTGTTTTTGAAGCGTCGCGCCAGAAACATGAATTCTCGTGTGCACTGACAGTTGAACGCCCCGTGGCAGACGACGTCATAAAAGTAAGTTGTCCCGTTGCAAGCGTGGGTGAATGTTCTCCAACTTTAAGTCCAAGTATGTAGGCGCTGTCCTGCCTTAGTCTCGTTTAGGGGACACATGCACCCGCCTTCATGCAGGCCCAAGTACACAGTACTTGCGGGACTTCCAAATGAGGAAAGTGCAAATGTGGAAACGCTTGGGAGATCCTGATGCTAGAGGAGTGGAGCCGGTTTCGCAGAGGAAGGAACTTCCGTGCGCCCCGCGAATACGGCCATGGGTGCACACGCCAAATCCATGCTGTCCTCCGTAAGTCGGGATATGAGGTACCGACCTCCACGCAATGCAAAAACAGTTTCAGCTTACTGCTGTGTTCCGTACGTCGCAATGGTATTAACGCCACAACCAAAACCAGCCTCCCCCACCGGCCTTGCCACAAATGGAAAGAGGTGTGAGGTACCGGTTATACTGTTTCCACTCTACGGAAGGCCTCATAGTTTCAAAGACAGGGAAGACACTGCACATGGTGACACAGTACGGCCAGATGCGTCTGAAGTGGGTGGCGGGGCGGTCACATTCAGATGTACCGCAAAGGCATTGCCCAACTGAGCGTGTGAAGTGTGGATGGACTTGATGTACTGTCATGATGTCTATGTCAGACTGATCTTTTATTTTTCGTTGGGCTCGTTTTTTTAGCATTTATGTAAATCAAAAAAAAAGAAAAAGAAAGAAAAGCATGTGGCACATTCCGACTACCCTTTTCCCCCGACATAACACACCCGGCCTGATAATGAATGTGTACGAGCTATAGTTCAAGTCTGGCACAGCCGAAAGGAGAGTGCGTTGTGTTTGGGGGAAGATGGTGGGAGGATGGAAATCATTTGAAACAATATGCACTTGAAGAACACTACAAAAAAAAAAAAAAAAAAAAAGGGAACTGTGTGATTTTAGTGACGGAAAAAAAGAAACAGTTCGGATAACTGTCAAAATCGGAATGATACCGTGCACAGGGATGACACTCATAAAATGACATAACTAGAGGGGAAAAATGGTCAGGAGCCAGGACCGACTAGCATTGCGTAAAACGGTGTGTGGCGGCCGTTTCTTATTTAAAAACATATCGCTGTGTCGTGGATCGTGCTAATGGAGGTGATAGGAGCATAACATCATACCTAAGCACAAAGAGCCACAGTGCCTGAAAAGGCAGACAAATGGCATTAAAATCATTATAAAAAAAAAACAAAAGGGGAAACGACGTGGGAGTCACAAAAATGCGTTATAATTGCACTATGGGCCAAGATACACAACCCAGCTTTCTGGACAGGGGAGGGTGCCGGAAGTGCAATTGCAAAATGTATCTTGCCCCATGATAGTGCAATTATAACTCCTCTTTTTTGTGACTCTACTACTGAAGTTACCCCAAAAACAAAATCATTAGTGTGAAATGAGGGGCTTCTTTTGAGGTGAAAAAAAAAAAAATCTCAATTTCGACAATACGGCAGATGGATGGTGAAGATCAGCCGCGAACATCGGCACCAAAGATCAGCTGCGAAGATGAGCCATGAAGATCCACCAATAGATGGAGCAGCCCGGCAGGCAAAGCCTCAATTCCTGCGGTTCTCTTACCACCACCGGGATAGAGGCCTTGCAGAGGGGCTTTCCAAAAAAAAAAAGAAAAAAAAAGAAAGAAAGAAAGATCAGCTGCGAAGATCAGCAGCCAGGAATGAAGGATGTGCGTACTTCATGGGAAGGGAGGTACTAAGGAGGGTTTTTTTCCTTTGCTGGGGGGGGCGGGGTGGGGTGGGGTGGGGTGGGGTGGGGTGGGGTGGGGGCATTATTAAGGAGTTATGCTTTTTGGTTTTATTGGCCTTTTTTTTGTTTGGCTACTGCGGAGTTATACTTTTTGGCATTTACTTGGGCTTTTCATTGAAGCCCAATTTCATTGAAGGGTGAAAAAAAAAAATCTCTGTTTTGAAAAATGGCAGGTAAGCCTACGAGCGCTCATACTTGTCTTTTCGTATAATAACCGTTAGTATACTAACCTCCTCCTCTTTCCTTCCATATCTTGTAACAGTCTTACCTTCTCCCCTCTCCATGTTTCTTGGCCATGTTCAGATCTGTTTTGCTGGTACTATACTTAGATCATCATCATGACCTTTCCTTTTCTTCTTTTTGGACCTTTTCTTGATTTATGCGTGGCATCCTTTGGTTTAGCTTTGCCACTGATTATGATGATCCTGACTTCCGGTGTTTGTGAGCAAACTCAAATCTTTTTTTTTTTTCGGGTCAAAATTTATATTTCCGTTACTCGCGATGATGTCAGCAAAATATAAATTGCCTATGAAGGCTATGATAAAATCCAGACCGCCAATGTCCTTCGGGACATCAGAGGAGCCGCCCTCCCCTCAAGCGTTCTGCTGGATAGGGGGGGCTCCTTTCTCAACATCCAAAGGCCGTGCACTGTACTCTCACGACACGCTATTTGCACGAATTGATTTTAAAGCTTGGAAGGCGGAGCGGCGCAATCGGACGCAGTGGGAGTGCGTGCGGCTGCGGTGGCAGCGCTTCGGCATTTCCAAGAGCTTCAGCAGGTCCCGGTGGACCCATCTACGTCACAGGGCAGTTTGATGATCATCCTACGGCTGCTTTGTTTTCCGTTCCTGCTTCTTGGTGTAGTTGGAACTTCAAGGCTTTTGTATTGAGGTCTTAGTACCTAGGATAGATTCATTGCAAACTGCTCTATCTGTCATTCGAAGATTTATGTTAGGGGTAACTACGGCGCAGTCAGGGTTACAGTTTGTAATTGCATTTGAAACTGCGATTTAGCAGTTTAGTCGGGGCCCGAGTTTCAATTGCAGTTGAAACTCGGGCTGCGCAGTTCAGTTAGGGCCCTCTTGAACAGCAGATAAATTAAAAAAAAAATTAAAAAAAAAAAAAACATCCCTTATGCTGTGATTGTGGTCCTATACAGGATGCTACAGTGTTTGTCTGGAACTGAATGAAGCGAGGCAGTCAGCTGCCTCGCGTGGAATCCGCCCTGCCTGGCTGGCAGGGCGCTACGAGGACCTCACACAAGAAACAAAAAAGGAAAACAACCTGTTTCATGTTCCTCACTTCCTGGCCAGATACATTCCTCAAAGCACTGGTGAGGTGAGGGCCTTCCAGACGTAGGTGGATTCGAAGTTCCTCGTTTCCTTACTTTTTTAGGGCCTCGTTAGACACTCCTTACAGTTTCCTTGAGCCACAAGGAAACGTCCTTGTGGTTTTGAAGGGAAAATTGCGGCGTCGTTACACTCGTCCTTGGGGTCATCCCCCGAGGGTGTTTCCTTGTGGCTTCCCCGCGGCCGTTTTCATACGCAAATTAGCGGCCGCGGGGTCTGTCGTCCTTGGTCCAGCTTCTTTGTCCGTGTGGAGGCTGCGCGGTCCAGCGACGCGAGGTGGGAAACGGCAGTCTGCGGGCGGCGCGAGGAGAAATTTAAACTCGAGAGCGTGGGCATTCAAAATTCAAATTTCGAATGCCAGCTTCGACAGCGACGACGACGTGTGGCTGGCGGGACAACGGCGTCGTGCTGCGGAAAAGGGCCCGGCGGCGGCGGAGGCCACATCCAGAGGGCTCCCTCATCTGCTCCCGCAGCGTGTTGTGCTTCCATCGCCGTGGACCTTTGCGCACGTCGACTGCGCGTTGCTCTTCGCTTCCGTGCGCCGGGTTGTGAGCGGAGAAAAGGGGCCACCTTCTCAACGGACGTCTTCGGAACCATCGTCCGGTGCGGGAGGACGAGACAGACGGCAGCGGAACGACGGGCTATGGAGAGCGGCGCCGCGGCTAGACGTGATGTGCTGAGTCATGGTGAGCTGCAGGCGGTGGCGGCGGCCGTGTCGACGATCGTTCTTCGATGTCAGCAGGAGAGGGCGTTGGGGCGACTGAAGGAGCATTTGCCCGTGCGTGGACGGAGGACATTGACGCAAGATCCGCACGATGGTGCCGAGTTCATGGCGACGTCGGAAGCTGTTGTTCAGCTGTGCTATGCGTTGGGCTGCGGAGTGATACCCCGCGCGACGCAGCGGTGGTGGGTGAAGCGCAGGACAAGAGGAACGTGGGAAGACCTCAGGCTATGCGACGACGCGACTGACGACTACTTCCGCGATAAGCTGCGAATGTCGCCACGAGTGTTCCGGGAGATCGCGGAGGCGTGTGCGCCTCATCTTCAGCCGCAGGTGACGTTCTACAGGGAGCCTTTGCAGCCGGACCAGATTGTGGCGTACGCACTGGACAGGTGGGCTTCAGGTGAGACGTATGAGAGCAGCACGTGCAACTTCGGGATTGGACGAGCTTCTGGGCTGATTGCCGTCCACGACGTGACTGCCGCGCTGCTGAGGGTGTTCGGCGATAAGATTGCGTGGCCGACGGGAGTTCGTAAACAAGTCGTTCTTCGGGCGTTCGCTGATAAAGGCTTCCCCAACTGCCACGGTTGCATTGATTGCACTCACATCTACGTCGACAAGCCAGGGAATGCTACGAGCGAAAATTACTACGATAGGAAGCGTCGTTTCTCCATCGTCGTGCAGGTCGTTGTCCACTTGGACTTGCGTGTGCTGGACGTGCACATGGGATACCCCGGTAGCTGCCACGACATCAGGGTGCTGCAGTTGTCCAGCCTGTCGCTGCGCGCGGAGGAGGGGTCGTTGTTCCGCGGGCCCCCCGTCACATTACCGTTCGGTGTGAAGACGAACGGTTACCTTCTGGCGGACAATGGGTACCCCCCTGCCGAATGGATGGTCGTCCCGTACGGCAGTATCAATCAGAGCGTCGAGCAGGAGCGGTTTGACAACAAGCAGAAGGTGGCAAGGGGAGCTGTGGAGAGGGCGTTCAGCAGGCTGAAGGGCATGCGGCGGCTGTTTCTCCGAACACACAAGACAAACCTTGAGACGCTCCCGCAGCAGTTCACCGTCGTCTGCATACTGCACAACTTACTGATCGACGCGGGGATCCCCTTCGACGAGAATCTGTTGTGGGAGGTCGACGGTAATGGTGTGCGACGACGAGTGGACCTGGGGATCGACGAGCCCCTCCAGCCTGTGTCCATGTTGACGTCGACCCGCGAAGCCTTAGCCCTGAGGCATGCTTTGGCGGAACGAATGAAACACGAATGAGTCGTGTATCATTCATGGACGACAGCACATGAAGATGGCTTAATTGCAACAATGGGCGGACACTAGATTGGTCTTTCCGTCCTGCCTTGATTGGGTCGTTGTCGTCTGTACCTCGACGGGGTTGGTGGTTTCTGTGGAGGGTCGTTATTCGGATGGTGGAAGGCAGCGCGTGGAAGTGCGATCTTGGTGCAATGGTCGGAGGGCAGAATCGCGGTCTCGTCGGCCGTCGGCTTGGTTGCTAGCACTGTTAGGCGAAGTGGTCGGCGGTTTGCGTCGACGATTGTGTTTGGTAAGGATTCGCAATACACGGATGTGCGTCGCGTTCCTTTTTTTTTTATGTTCAAATTTTTTTTTTTTTGGATGCCGTTCATGAGGAGTAGTGCGGAACATGCTCATTGCGGTTGTGAGGTGCGCCTTTTTCGAGAAGAGTTAGAGGTTAGAGGTATGATGTTCATTCCGGTGGCCATGAAACTTTCCCCCCATCTCGGTTTCGAAAAAGAGTTTTGTAGTGCTGTGATTTCTTCTGCGACGTTGGAAGTACTTTTGACAGTCGTTTTCGGCCATTTCCATTGTATGTTCGCATTCCGTGTGCGCCTCTTTCATTGCGTGCATGTCGTGCGTTGGCATTTGTGATTCGTTTGGTTTTCAGCGGCCAAGTATTCCCTCGACTGATGAGTGCAACACGAACACATGGACTGTATGCCACTGGGATGATTCTGGAATGCAAACACACAAAAACAAACAAAAAAAAGAAAAGGAAAAAAAAAAAAACGTCTTCGAAGCGACGATCGAGAATGGCACCTGCAAATGAAGAAGAGATGTGTGAATGTGCATCGAGCACTGCATGGACCGTCAGGTTAGGAAAGAGAGCAATCACACGCTGCAAACATACGAAACATCCGTCCCGAATCGAAGACATGAAGAAAAAAAGGTGCGCTTCCAGCGTGTTAGATGTATATGACGCATGCTGCGCCTACAAGGAAACCAGAAACAACATCGCAGAAACCTACTGCAGACAACGCCGCGCACCGTCGCATGAACACTGGGAACTGCCAAACTAAATGAACAAGCAAGGACACCGACGAGCGAAGTTGCATCTACCACCCTGCCAGAGTGGACAGCCGAAAACGGAGGGCGTCTACACGCAYGACAGACAYGYTGTGCTYRTGCGGAGCRAAGGGAGAGACCAACAACAATCTGTGTCGCGACGCGCCGCCACCTTTCCCGCCGTCCACGTGCCATCACAAGCGACAAGCAAACCAAGGCAATCTAGCACAACACCATCCCTCCACCCCCTACGCGTCGTTTTCGCCATTGTCGTCACCGTCCTCCTCCAAGGGGCCCGAACCCAACCAATCCCTCTTCTTCGCGTCCTCTGGCCCCATGATGCTCGCGTCGTGGCCGAACTTGATGCCGCAGGAAGCCCAATCGGGGATGAACTTCGGGTACTCTCCAAAGGTGGCGTTCACCTTCCCCAGTCTCTCCGTGACGACGTTCGTCGCTCGGATGACGGATCTTCGATAATCGAAGGCGCGATGCATGGACGCGATCAGCGTGGGCTTCGCGACCAGCTGCGCGAAGTAGAAGGCTTCGTAGTGGCTACGATGATCGTCTCCCGCCATGCGCATCAGCCACATGCAGGCAGCCAACAACAGCCTGAAGCAATCCGCGATCCTCGACAGACGATCGTGTGATATGAACCCGTCGTCGACGTTGGCACCCATTTGCACGGCGGTGCGAAATGCATTCGCGACGCACAAGACAGTCGACTCCTGGTACGCAACCATGTCGTCATCCTCCGGCCTGTCGTCGATGTTCACCCCCGCAAACCACAGTGGCAAGTCCATATTGAGGTCGATCGTGTGCGCGCACTCACCACGTTGCTCCACTCCTCGCCATACCACATAACGCGCGCAAGGTCTGTCGCCACCGACTCCAACGCGTACTGGAAAGCGATATTGTATCCGCGGGGACGGTTCCCTGACTTGAACACCCACCCATGCAAGACGAGCAGAACTATGTTCTCTGCAGCCCCCCCGCGGATGATCGCTTGCTGTAGTTGAGCGGGATCAGCAATCCTCGTGAGGCTCGTCGCAGATTTCGGCATGACGACGCTCCTGGACACGACGGGCGCTTGCACCCTGCTAGCGATGGCCTCGAAGTGCTCCCTCGTTCGGTGGACGATGTCGTAGAGTCGGCGCCCCTCCCCCGTTGTCCAGAACGCTTTGTCGTCGACCCATAGGCGGGCACGGTCGGCAAGATCTCTCGCCAACCCTCCCCTCCGCTCCCGGCTTAAAAGGGGGTCGTCATCGCCTCTTTCGCCCTTATTCTCGCCTCGCGCAACCTCCCGCTCCACAACAGGAACCTCCTTTCTCGCCCCCGCCACGACACCGACATTGCCCGAGGACCCCGCGCCTGCACCAGCGCTCGCCACGCGCGCTTCTTGCTGGGCCACCTCACCTCCCCCGCATTCGGTAAACCCTTCATCTACAGCCGTGTTGCGCGGTCGCGGCTGTGACGGCGTGGACGACATGGCGCCCTGAGGTGGCCTTTCTTCCTGCGCGGCGCATATCCTTACTCCCGTCACCGTCGCACATTGCATTGCATTTCGCTGCCTGCGGCTTTCCAATGGCTCGTTGTCCTCGTCACCGACGTCGACGACAACCTCCTTAGCTTTCGTGTTCCTCTGCCCACGACCTTGTTGCCCCTCCGGGGGGGGCGTGAGCAATCTCCTCGCCGCGACCTGATCATTCTTCGCTTGAAGAGTGCTGCCCCGGGGTGCCGCCACGGTGTCATCTGCTGCTTCCTCCTCTGTCATGAACACGTCATCATTTTCGTCTTCGTTCGTTGCCGCCCAATACCGCCCTCGCAGGACAGGCACGCTTGGTGATGGCTCTTCTGAACGGAGTCTCTTCGACTTGGGGACATGCCGCCGACCCACTGCCCGCCCCTGGTGTCAGCAGGGACGTTCTCCCGCTTCTTGCCACAGCCGACGCCTCGCGTAGACATGATTCCCGTGCACTACTGTCGCACTGGTTGGCGAGAGCGCTCCGCGGCAAGAACAAGATCTTCGGTGGTGAATGACGCCGCACCTCCGAACGACGTAGAGTTGTCCGCGACGATAAGGACAGTCTGCTCCGCGTGGACGTCCTTGTGCTTGCCAGACGATCGTTGGGCGCGATCGACGACGACAGTGCAAAAGTCCCACTCGTGGAGCGGAAAGACAGGGGCGACCATGTGATGGTTGCGCGGTGCGTCGAGGACAGAAGGCAGGTGGCGTCCCGCGCGGATTTCGTCGCTGATCACCTTGTGCACCGACCTCCAGTACTGGATATGCCGCAAGGACAGCTTTATGTTGGAGCAGGCGCAGGCCCGCCAGAAACATGGGGCAGCTGGACGGGCCCCGAGCACGATTCTTCGCCTGTCGTCGTTGTCGACAGCGACACGTGTGACAGCAACTCACCAAACCTCCTGCACCCGCACGCCCTTCAGCTTTTGTGACGACCACCGTCCCCGCCGCTCGTACAGACCCTTCCACACTTGCATGGGCGCGCGTCCATACAACAGCAGGGGCCGATGTGAATTTCCTCCAGAGCACTGCCCCCACCAACACC